GCATTGGTGCGTGTGAGCGTGCGTGTGAGCGCGCGTGTGTTCGGGCAGACAACGCAAGACGAAGTGACACATTGCACTCCATGTCGTAGTCACATTCGCTCTTCTGCAATATTCTGCACTTCCTTTTGATTGGCTTTGGAATTAAATCACGGATTCTTTAATAGGCAATGGAATGGATACGAAGTTGTCTATAGGAGCCAAAGTATGCTAGTATCACAATGAATACCATCCATTGGGCCAGCGGAACCAAGCCAAGTTCGTCTAATGAACATAATTATACCCAATATGATCGGTGAGCTATGCACAATTCGTACACTTTTTTACCCTCCACAAAATTAGCAAACTTTGAAGTCTCCTTAGGTTAATTGCAGTCCATGCAACGCTGGCCATTGTAAAGACCTGTGTTAACAGATCATTTTTAGGCGCCGATTACACTTTCAAAGTATTTCAGCTTTGATTTCACCATATAATGAATCGCAGAGGTGCTGAAATGAGTCGCAATATTTTTTCCTGCGATTTTACCGCATTTACTGAGAGTTTTAGAGGCTTTGCTAAAGTCAATGAATTTCGCCTTCTTTTTGGATTACTTTAAAACACAAAGCTTAGATTGATGCAAAATTTCAGACATTTAAAATAGTTTTGCAGTTTATTCACTTAGACAAAGTAGCTATCACCTCGGTATAAACATGTTATGAGAAGAATTTGAGACGGTCGTATTTTCTTTCTATTAGATTTTTCATTATAAACGTTTGATTGGGTTCTTTGCAACTAGGATGAGCCTTTAAGTCATCATCACATAATTGTGACGCTAAAAGTATGAATTTTTTCAAACGAATAATTAGAACCAACGAACACATACTTTCAAAGTTCTTGATACACTATTTTCGCGCAAAGCAAGATCCACGCGCACTTTAGCCCCTTATGTTCAAATGCTACGTGGATTATTTATGTCCCACTTGTCTAGGCGACTGTATTAAAACGACCGTAACGATTAACTCACACCAGGCGCATTTTGATCGCAACATGGATCTCTGGATCCTCCCTCATAAGAGCAATGAGAGATATTCAGGAAAACTATCCGTTTTCTTTCACCACTTTCTGGAACAAACAGACGAATAATAGCAGAGGCTAATAATGCAAGCAAACGCAGGTCTAGCTTGTAAGCATGCTCTTCTTCTTACCTCTCAGGCATTTCTCATTACCTGTGGCCTACGCTATATTATTTTGCATTTTTGCAAAATAATATATTCCCATATGTTGCGATCTCATAAATGCCAACTAGTTTTGTGTTCAATCCGTTTAAATCTCGTCATAAAAGTTCAGATTTATCCGAAAATGAATGAAGACCAAAGAACACTGCACAAGCTCACTCTGATAAATCGTAATGACAGAACTAGATGGAAATAGCATTTGCAAAATGTCACAGAAGTCACAAAAAAAGCTGAAACTGGGAGTCCCATTAAATTATGTGAAAACAAATAAACACCTGCTAAACCTTACACCCGGCTTTAAGTAAATGAAGAAAACAGTCACTGACTAAGAGCGTCGGAATCTCGCGCGCAAATAACTTTCCAGATTCAGGGCAAGATTCCGTGGTTCTACTTTCAAGGAAAACTATTTTGACAGCATTGAACCACGATGGGAAATAGGTATTTCGGTGAATGCTACAATATTTTGACATTGACTTTTTTATTTGGTCTGCTTTAAGTGAGTTTCCCCAAACTTTCATCTGTAATGGAACCGAATCTCTAACTCACAGAAAAACCTAGGTCTGCCATAGATCAAGTTCCAATGTGTCTTGATCAGTCTGTCTACTTTCAGAACATACCGCCGCAAGTTCTACTGAGTGTTGACGGAGCCAAAGCTTTTACAGTAATTCCACTTCCGACGTAATAAGTTGCCTATAAAGCAGAAGTTGTCTTAGGAACTTGATTTGCTTGTAAGGTTTGAGAACCTCAAATCCAGCAGATGAGTATGTTTAGAAGTAGCTGAAGTTGTTTGCACCCCGGTGCTATCCAAGGGAATAGAAAAGCTAGATGTACATTAAGTCACTCGGAGCACAGAAAGCGTTCGTCATTTATACTGATTTCAAACCCACCGTGACAGGCAACACAACTTGCTGTAAGTGACGTAAGCTATAGCAAATGTAGAGCGCATTTGAGTGCAAGCGCAAAAGTTGATGTCACACCTCTTGTTGGACACAGTTCACCTGGAAAACTAAGTCTCAATTGATTGAAGCGTCTAAGGCCACCGTGTTTTAGTCTGATGATCACATTTGAAAATCCAAAGCTAGAATAGGAGTTCCTAATTATTGGACAAAAAAGTGTAAATCTGGCTATTTCTATCATTTCAATGTCTTTTAACCATGATGGAAAGGGTACAAAGGGAGCATCGAGAGAAGGTCTTTTAGGTGTTCTAGGCTTCAGAAGTCATTAAGTCAATTTGCCGCTGTCTACACAAGGGGCTGGGACCGCTAACATCATAGTGGTTTTCGACACTAAAAAACCCAGCCAAAAAGAGGATGCATTAAAAAATTTGTACAAAGGTTTTGATTGTCATTATAAGAGGCTCTACTGGAATGGTGTTTCTTCTGAATGGACTTCCTTACTAAAATGGAGAATCGTCTTCTTCTGAAAATTCCAATCCCATCCCAGACCATTATGGCATGGAGTGGAGCGCTGGTAAAAAGGCGAAAGCTAGGTAGATTTTAAATTCATATGCCTCTGTGGGTTGCTTTGCTGCAAATTTGGCTATTTTTGATGAGCTTTGAAGGGATAGTAGCTGTTTTAGTACGCAACTACCTGGATAATGTCGCCGTAGCACGCGACTAACAAAGCCTCTCGGCGGCTGATAGGACTTTTTCTCGCGTCAATTCGCTTTAAACTATTACTAGTAAGTCCATTGGGATCATATTGGAGCATTAAGTGCTCGCGCCGTTGCTATGGTACGAAACTCAGATTAACTGGCATTAGCATGGACATCCCAGATCTGTAGTCCTGCCGCGGAAATATCTTGGAATTCCATCGAGTGAAACGATGACGCATCGATGTAGGAGTGAGTAGGTTCAGTGGTATTTGTCGCCGGAACATCTTTGGCCATGCTAGTTAACCAAAGCGTTCAAAATGCAAAGTAAGCCTTTTTTGGAGTAGAGTACAGTACAAGAGGGGCAACGACTTCGAACGCATACAAGCACCTCAAGTGATAGTGAATTCTTCAATGGCAAATCGCTGGGGCTGATTAAACACTGTGACGAACAAGCTCAGATCAATGCATAGGCTAAACCTTTTACAAAAGGAATATAAAGTGCGAAGTGCACCTTTCACGAAATGCACTTTGTTCTATCTTGAGGTAAAATCACAACAACCTGCAGCGCTCTTGTCTGTAAATGCGCCTAGGAGCACTTTACACAAACTAATGTTAAATTAAGGATTACCATGGATTTATGAGCAAAATGGTTAATTCATAAGCTTGCAATACATTAAAGCGAAAGATAAGCTTTGAAAACAGGGCATTACAGGAAGTTCAAGATTGGCATTTTGAGCTTGATAATGCGGTTGGATGATGAAGACGGACAAAGACATGATGCACATTCAAATGTGTTACGGTTGAATAAAAGGACCAAGTGTAAACGTATCCTGATATGTGCGCCAGGAATGGCACACTGCTCTCTCTTTGAGCGGAAGTAATGCAACTATTGGGCTGCCAGTACTTCAATTTATAAAGTCCATTTCATAAGAAACTGGATGCGCGCAATGCAATAGTTGAGTGTGAATGGAAATTATAAATGCTTTTGAAGAGCCGTACACGTTTACGTAGAACTTGTCGTAAGAAAGCGTCTACCAACCTCACCCTTTAGTAATCCTTCGGTCAGTGATTTACCCAATCATACTTTCTATCCGATGGAACACTGGCATTTTTAACATATGTGCTTTTTAATGACTTTCAAACTTACAAACGCCTTTGACCTCAAGGTAAGAAGTGTCTTCACCATTTTTGCTCAAGATGGCTATTTTAAGCACACTTGCAAAAGAAAAAATGCTGACTGGAAGGCACAAAAATTCATGCCCTAGCTCAAGTTGGTTCCCTCCTATAAGTGTTTCAAACGTCTTCATTTGGGACTCCATTGAGGACCAGCATATAAAATAGGCTTCAAGGAGCATCCAATAGGCTATACAATTCTCCAGTTCCATACAACTATTCACTTATAAGACGAGTGTCACTGTTTATTGCTTCTTCAATAATCAAACATCTTTTCCTGCCATTTTCTCTTTGCACGTCCAGAGTTCTAGACTTATAGCTATTACTTCTGAATGCATAATACGTATGGAAAAGACGCACTGCACTAAATCCGGCAAGATTAAAACATACTCTGTCTACCTGTTTCATGAAATTCCCAAACAAGTAAGAAATCGGGAGTAACTGATTCCCTCCTTGCCATCTTTGCACACATGCACACTCATTCGCTATCCCAAAAATTTTTTTCCTGAATTTCTTACCTCAAAAACGGAATTAAAGCAATTTCTTACAAATCTGAGTCATGGAGATAGTCTTTGCCCAGCTTGTATATACCGAACCCGAAGTATTGCGTGGGACAGTCATTACACCTAAATCGGTAAACATTGTCAAATGTGAATGCGTTACGCGCTATTTCTGGGGTCGCATAAAATGAGAACCAACTTTACTGTAACAGAAGTATTTTACTCTTGTTAGTTGTGAAGTCACGAGAAATGCCGATAAGCGATCATTTGAGGAACAATGTGCATGCTTAAATCGAAAATTTATCTGTTCAAGCGATTTGTTTCTCGAGATTCAAAGTAAAGTATGCACGAAATGCTACATGCAATCTTATCAAAGAGTCTTTCAAGATGCGGCAATTATTAGCTTTACCATTGTATGAGTGAAAATACTAAATAAGTTTAAGTTTTTTCAGAAATTCAGCAGCATCTGACTGAGTACTGACATAGTTGCTTAAATCTGCCACAGCTTTAAGTTACATTTATTTGCTATTCAGACAATACAGCGTGCGAGCGTATAGTAACCTACCGGGTGCATCAGGGATCGGAGGAACTGGCTTACCCAGCGGAAGTTACCTTGCCAATGCAACAACTTCGTCGACTTCCCATGTGACTTTTGGTGCGCCGACCACTACAATCGCCTCCTCATCGAACTTGAGGCCAACAGAATCTTCCAGCAGTGCTGCTGGTGGTGGTCCTCCAGCCACAACCTGTGACACCCTCATCTCCGCGGTTGGCTCCACCGTTGCAGCACTTACAAGCGGACAGTTTGGGCTTAGCCAAAGAAATCCTCTTGTCCGATCGAGCTCAATTTCTCGAAACCTTTCTGATTCTAGAGAGAGTCAATTCGATGAAACTGTGGATGGTGGTGCACGGAGGAAGGTATCAGCAAAAGCCTCGATTGTTCACAATGTTGATTGGGATGTTGAAGGTGGTCAGTTTTCTGAGGTGAGTGATGATTTGCAACAGAAGGAACAATATAACGTACCCTTTGGCGATCGTCGACAGGATGACGAAGAACGTGTTGTCTTGAACGTCTCTGGCTTGAAATTCGAAACCCAATTAAAGACCCTAAATCGCTTCCCAAATACTTTGCTTGGCAATCCGCGGAAACGCAATAGATTTTATGACCCACTTAGAAATGAGTACTTTTTTGACCGAAATCGACCAAGTTTTGACGCCATCCTCTACTATTACCAATCTGGAGGCAGACTTCGTCGACCTGTAAATGTCCCAATCGACGTTTTCACTGAAGAGATAAGTTTCTACGAACTTGATGATGAGGCTGTCGAAAAATATCGTGTTGATGAGGGTTTTCTTAAGGAGGAGGTGAAGTTGCTACCTGAGAACGAATTTCAGCGCAAAATCTGGCTTCTCTTTGAATATCCGGAAAGTTCTTTAGCTGCACGGTGTGTTGCTATATGTTCCATCTTTGTAATTACCCTATCAATTGTAATCTTTTGTATCGAAACCTTACCTCACTTCAAGCACTATCGGATCGCGAATAGGACTTCCAGGCCTTCACCTACTTTGAATGCTGCTGAAGATGGTAATCACTATGTTTCCACTGAAACTACCGTGTTTGATCCAGGATCAAGTATTTTACGAACAGTTCGTGATACCTCGGCGAGTACACAAACTCAATGGAATGATTTATTTTACAATGTGATAATTGTGGAAGACGACATACCTCATCTCGCTGAGCCATTTTTCATAATTGAGACAGTATGCATAATCTGGTTTACTTTTGAATTGATGATTAGATTCGCTTCATGTCCTCAAAAGGTTGCTTTCTTCAAAAACGTCATGAATTTCATTGACATCGTTGCAATTATTCCCTATTTCATTACTCTTGGCACTGTCATAGCTGATGATTCCAAGCGTCAAAATCAGGCAATGTCTCTTGCAATTCTTCGTATCATTCGACTAGTTCGTGTGTTCCGCATATTTAAGCTATCACGTCATTCAAAGGGACTGCAAATACTTGGTCAAACTCTCAAAGCTAGTGTCAGAGAGTTGGGACTTCTTGTGTTTTTCCTTCTAATCTCTGTTATCCTCTTTTCCTCGGCTGTATACTTTGCTGAGGTAGACGCGGAGAAGACCTTTTTTCGATCCATACCCGATGCATTTTGGTGGGCTGTGGTCACTATGACAACGGTTGGTTATGGTGATATGCGGCCAGTGACAGTTGGAGGAAAGTTAGTTGGTTCTTTGTGCGCCATAGCTGGTGTCCTAACCATCGCCCTACCTGTGCCTGTTATTGTATCAAATTTCAATTACTTTTATCATCGGGAAACCGAAACAGAAGAGAAACCCAGTTTTACCACAGTTTCGTCATGCCCACTTTGTAAGACGCCTAGCCTATGCAGCTCAACTTCTGGGGGTGGTCTCCTTATCCCCAAGAAAAAACACAGTCGGGACGGAAGCGTATGCGGATCTTCAGGATCTGATGGAGGAGGAAGACCTGCAGTAAGCCAAGAAGATTCGCAACCTACTCATGACTCTCAAGACAATTCTGCGAGAATTACACTACTGAGAAGTGCTGATGACATGCCCACGTCACGTTTGATTTCCGAATCTGATAGAAATGCTGAAGAAGGAGAGGAAAAGGCGAACAGACATAGGAAAAAGGGGACATTGATGAGACCAGGTCTTCTAAATATCATAACTCAACCCCTTCAAAAACTCGGCATCAGGCCTCGGACATCTCTTGATCAAGCGACGGAAATGAGGAAGCGTCCTAATTTTAACACAACGTCATTGCCTCCATCGCCACAAGCTGTGGTTATGTCGAACACTATCACACTTTCACCATTGAAATCTCACCAAGAGAACAATCATTGATAATGTCTCGACTCCCAATGTCCCCACCTCCGTGATGGACTGCCTGTCATAAAGGTCTGTGGTAATGTTCGACCCCAAATTCATAAAATTCGATATCTTCCTAGTTTGAAGATCCCACACAGCGTTTAATCGAGCTGACAACACTTGGTACAAGGGTAGGCATACGCGCATTGAGTATTTTTGTAAAAAGAGACACAAATACAATCTCAGATCCATGCTTCATGCTTCTTATTTCTTATTAACTCAACGGTGACTATTCAATTGCAGCAAAACGTTGAGCCTAATGGAAGTGATTTCAAAGCTATAAGTGGTATTACTAGAGGTGATGAAGCGATAATTCTCGCATTGGTGCATAATGGTTAACGTATAGACTGTCAAACACTAACTGGATAGTCGTATTTCTTTACAAATCGCGTCACTGCATTTTGCTTACAACAAGGCGATAGATAAGTTTTCTCTAAGTTTTGAATGAGAAAGGGCCTATTTTTAATTGAGGAACAAATTGGGATATCAAAAGCGGAAGAGATTTTCGCATTCATCGACGTTGTCAGGGCCCAATGCAAGAAGGAAGGGTAAGAAATTATGGGGCAGATCGACTGCATTTATGAACGGTAAATGTAAGCCCCGATTACGAATTTGAAAAATAAGTACTAATTGCAAATTAATAAATAATTAAGAGTAATTTGCAACGTCGCAATAAAATGGCGAAGTTATCAGCCTCATTTAACTTGAAACATGCTTTAATGCCTAAGTACAATTCCATTGTAAGTCGATACAATGAAGTAATTTGGTGGAAGCATGAACCCTGTTGAGCAGTGGCTCGCACGCAAAGTGAACGGGGCAAAAGAGATAGGCTATATCTCAAGTGTGATTGCATTTGCATTATACAAATGGAGAAGTCGCTAGCCACGATCAGGTGGAAGCTCTTTCCTGTCAGCTAGATGGAATCATGTTCTACTTAGTGCATGAATTCCAATGTCAGATGTCTTTCCTGCGTTTTTCTTGCAGCAAAAACGTAAGCTTGTTTGCATATAAAGAAGAGGTTTGAGGAAGCGCAATTACCATTTGCTGTGTAAATCGGTCCTGGACGCGAGATTCTACGTGGAACTGGGATTGGTAAAACAGCACAATGCCTACTAAACCATTGGAGGTGAGGTTGCGCCTACATTGACACATATTGTCTGCGGTTGGGCCTCTTTGCTTCAAAACCAACTCAAACACAGATAACTTCATAAAGGTTAAAAGGCTAGTAATGTCCTTCCAATATTTTTATAAAAGGAGTATTAAGGCCACAAACACTTCTAGGATTGGAATGCTTACGAATTTGCTGTACTGGGAATTAATGTATCTCTCTTTGTAAATAAGAAGTAATGCACTGGAACGTTAGGAAAACCG